TGTGTTGGTGTACCTGTGTTTAATACTGGTGGTTTGTGTTTGTGTTATCTGTTAACGTCCAATGTCCAAACTGAGCAAGAGCCCACAAGTAAGCAAGAGATAGTCCTAAAGTAATATCAGTGCCCATAAGCAGCAGCTTGTCCTTAGTACCAAACACCCAACCTGTTACTTCCTGCTATCCACAGTCTGCTATTGTGTGTGTCTAACAGACACATTGGCTTTTATTTCAGCAAAATTTTACAAATCGCATTGGTTTTTTTAAAAGGGGAGAATAGCAAGAGTAGAACACAAAATGCAAAACTGAAAGCTAAAAAAAAATCCTGCTTTTTCAGGATTAAATGTAACAGAAACTCCTTCGCATCAGCTGCTGAAGCTAAAGGAATCTGAATGCAATATGAATCACTTCCCATGTTAATTGCTTTTCCAGCTTCCTCAGTAATGAGAGAAAGAATAATCTGTTTTCTTTACACACACACATGCCCTTTTAAATTTAAATAGTTTTTCACACAAATGGAAAGGACCTCTTGTGAACTATTGACAGTTTCACATTGACAGCCAAGGACTGGGCCCAACTGGTGCCTTCATATTTGAGGTATTTATTATAACATTGTCTTTCCTATACCGCTGGGGAAGTGAAGAGAGTAACGTAATGCTATGTGCAAGTGGTTCTGAAGCTAAGTGAAAGAACCTTGATCCCAGCAGGCGCCCAGGATGTACAGCACATCACAGTTGGAGAACGTTTGAGCTTATGTATCAGGACTCAGGTTATTGATATTTAAATGAATTGATAGAACCCATGAACTGAGATAGAAAGATTCATTTATGCAAGGGAGCAAACAGTTACCTCAGGAGACATAGTCAGAGGCCTTTTCTGCACCTAGGGATAAAACAACACTGAGAGGGCTTGGTTCTGTGTCTACATGAAACAGTAAATAGTCTCCATCTTTTCCCTTAGGTATAAAGCCACAACTTGGATAATAAAGTAGAAAAACTGAGAGCTGTGCATCAATTGGGACTGTTAACAGTTTTTAACAGCTATTAGAGAAATGGGGCTACAGCTGGATCGACACTGGCGATCTTAATCTGAGGTGACAAAGAGAGAAATCAGTTTCATGCATGCTATTTGCCAGTGCTTAATTTCAGCTAATCTCTTTTACAGCTTCTACAAATATTGACGTTACAGTCTTTTATCCTTGAGTACTTTAAACTATTCTACAGAATCATGATCTCAGCCAGTTTTGCCTGCTCTCCTGGACTTTGCTTCTTTTTCTGAAAATGTCAAAAGTCTCTCCCCCCCCCCCGCCGCTTGAGCCACAGCATTTTGATACCATTTTTTCATCCCAGCATTTTGATACCATTTATTGACTGTATTCCCTAATGGAAACTTCAGTTGTGATCATACAGGGGAATAGATCACATTTTGGACCACTTGTGGAAGAGTCCTGCATGATTTATTTCCCAGCAATTAAACAATGTATGGGGAATTGTGCTCCAGCCAAATCCTGATTCATGCCCACGTTGGACTTTTTTGGCCCAACTGTAGGGTTACTGCTTAGGCGGGGGGGCTGGCTTGAGCAATTCCCTGGCAGACAGAAGGGTTTAGTTTTAAGGGAGATTGCTCCCTGCAAAGCAACTTTCCAGTATGACTGGATAGATGCCTTTCCCACCATCGGATTGCACCCTTCATTTCCATGAAGTTCTGAATGGAATGCAAAGGAGGAGGGGGGGAAAAAACCTCTGTCATTTCTCTGTAACGAATCTTGAAGGGCCTTCATTCCAGCTGTTATTATAGCTCCATTCTTTGTCCAGTTCAGTCCATGCATTAACAAAACATTCACATTCTTGAACTTCAGCACTGTAACCCTAAGACAGTCTCTCCACCAGAACATTTCTTTAAGGTTTATCACCCATAATAATTTTCATTATTTAATATTACTTTCTTTTGTTAACGAAAAATAAATGGAACCATAGACTGATGTACAGGAAAACAGTATTCTATTTTTGTTTGTTTGTTTTTAAGTACTGATTCCTCTAGCAACTCTTACATCATATACAAGCAGCAGAAGAACTAAACATAGAATGGAGCAGCCATTAGAGAAAATGGAGTTTCCCTCATTCACTATCAGATGTGGCTGGTAGGTTAGTGTAAAAATAGACAAACCACAACAAAAAGCTGCAAAATTCTGTCACAGGTTGCAGAGTCAGCGAAAAATCCTGTCTTTTAAATATATTCACCCACATTTTTTTTAAAGTTCAGCAAATTCTACATTGCTCAACATTTTAGGCTTCAGCCATGTTTTCTGTGAATTGCTTATTGGTAGAGATAGGCACAATCTAAAAAACTAACCAGGACATTTTTTTAAAAAAAAAAATTGCTGATGCATTGGTTTGTTAAAGCTGCTGAAGCTGAACTGACCCGAACTACTTTTTTTTTTACTGTTGAACAAACTTCCTGGTTCATCTGCCCCACACACACCCCCGGTCTTCCCACTGCCCTTGTCACCTCGCTACCTGGTCCTGTTGCCTCCTTCTCTTTGTCCTCCACCACCACCACCATCTTGAGAAAGAGCAGGTATGGCTTCCCTTCCAGAAGCTTGGCTCGCTGTCTCTGTGCATGTCCCTGCCTATCAGCTGATAGGTGGGCACAAGTGCAGAGACAGCAGGCAGGACCAGGTAGGGGGTCAATGGGGGCAGTGGGGACAGGGCAGGTGTAGGTTGCAAATGGACAATCCCAATGAGGGCAGTGGAAAGGGGTGGGTGCAGACTGTGGGGTCAGGGGTTTAGTTTTCCCATTCCCTAAGCACAAACTTTTTTTAAAAAAAAGGTTCGTTTTTGGATTTTTGTGTGGGGTGGTTTTCTTAAAAAAGATTTGTATGGTTTATGCCCATCTCTAATTATCGGCAATGTATTCTACTAAAACAGTTGTACCAATTCAGTGCTTGCAACATGAATCCTCTGACAGGGAAAGATGTACATCTGTATACCTAAGAGAGACAATAAACCCCAAAGTGTAAAATGTTTGTCAAGGGCACAAGGATATTTTGCATTTCATCACATTTTAAAATCCAGTTGGTAGACTGTTAAATAAAAGTTGGAGCACCCCTTGGTTCTGGCAGGGGGTGCTCATCCTGAGAGACTCCTCCACTCAGACTTAGGCCACTAGTGATGGAAGTATTTAAGTGCTCCACAGATTGGGGAAAGGGTTAAGCCTTGCTCTGTGCACAATGCCCTGTTCTAGAGATGTCTTGTTCATTTTCACGGGACTATGATAGAGTTAAGAAGCTGCTGAGATAATTGTATTTGTCCTACGGCCTTTTATAAGGCATATAGCCCTGGTCCTTACTGGACAAGGCTAGGTTACTTCTAACCTATTCACAATCCTCCACAATTACAACTTTGCCTAAACACTGCCTTGCTGGGTTGCCTTGTCAGATTTTGATCCTTCTGCTAAAGTCCGAACCATCTGTCACCTAAGGGCAGCCGCTGCAGATTTAAGTTTCATGTCTGCCCTCCCTAGTATCTTAGTGGGTAGCATGTGCTTATTTTTTCAAGATAACTTTTGTTTTTAAGAAATTGTGTTTTGGGCCTTAAACAGAGCAGTACAGTCTCGAAACAGCCAATTGTGGCCCTGGACTCTTCTGGGGAAAGAACTGACCATTTTTGTGCTTATTATTTTTCCTCAGGAGGAAAAAAAAATATACGGTACCACACTGTCAGACCCTCATCTAAGGCAACCATTGATGACCCAGCCCCTCCAGATTGTATTTGTCCTACAAATTGTAGGACAGATTGTATTTGTGATAGTGTTTAACTATCATTTCCATCATCCTCACCCCCTGCCCTTGGCCACACTGCCTTAGTATTATGGGAGTTATAAGGAGGGTGGGCAGCTTGGAAGAGGCTCATTTAAAGGTAAAGTCAACTGCCAGCAATGGTCTTGTGATGCCTGGAAACAGACAAGGAACAAAATGTAATGCAGGGGATCCAGTAATAGGATTTCCTGCCATTGTTAAGATTTTAATAGCAGATCTATGGGATACATTTAGATCTGGCATAATACTCTAGGACCCTCACCCTTACCGTCACATTTTTCTTATTTAAAACCCTTACGCACCCCTCCAAGATGTTAAAGCAGCTGTTTTCTTGATAGGCAACACATAAAGATTGCATATATAGGAACTTGCCTATTTTTCCTCACTGGGCAACAAAACAGCTTCCAAGGCAGCGTGCAGGGGCATAATCAGGAAAATGGACTGAAAGAGAAGCACTATCCCCTTCAGAATCCAAATCATAACAGCACAGTACTTATTCATGGATCTCCACTAGAATTTTTTACTTTGATTTTCAGCTTTCCTACTGCACCAATATCATCAAATTGCAGCACATGTGCTAGAATTAGAGGCCATGCTGGCTGGCTGGTTGTGACTGGAATGAATGCTTGGAGCCGTGCTCCAGAAAAAGCGACGTTCCCAAACTTGGATCTTAGGTATTTGCACGCTTGTCCTGTACATACCCTTACTCTAAAAATGTAACATCTATTGGAAGCTCACGTTAGTTTCATGAAGGCTCACAAGTTCACTAGGCTGGATGCCCTTTTGGAATGTTGTGCCCATAGTCTTTGGCAGCCGCCCACAGAGCACAAGGAGGACTACAAAGCAAGGAATGAGGATATTTTGCTCTCCTTCCATCTATGAGTGGCAGCCCTTGCTCAGAGAGCTGAAAATAATTTTCCAGAGGCATGGGGGTGGGAGTGGAGAGGACATCTTGACTTTTCATAAGTGAATACCTCACAATCAGTGGTACTCTTCAAAAAGCTCTCCTGTCATGAACAATGGAAATCATGACTAATCTCATACAAAACTAGCATAAAAACCTACACAAACAAGGGGAGGGGAGCCTCCTGCAGATAATTTTTCCTCCATGAAAGGATCTCACATAACATATAATTTCCTTCTTTGACCATTTACTTGGATAAAGTAATGCCAGTAGAAACAAGTGGATTGTTGGCAAGAAATGTGTTTATTTCAAATACTGCTGTACATTTAAAAATAAAACCCACTTCAAATGCTACTGTAGAGACAAGCCAGCACAGATAAGATACATGAGAAGCAACTTTGTATCTTCCAGTTTTGAATACTATTTCATCAGACTGTTGCCATAAAGGTACTTGGCACAAACATGGAGAATTAGACAATTCCTACCAAGAGGCACCTACATCCTAAAACTCAGACCCACAAGGTTCATTGGCCGGCCATCAAGTTCTGAAACTCTGAAGATCCATTTGATGCAAAGCCAGGATACCATACACACATGTCTACATATATGAAGATGGTACGTGGGGCTGCTTGTTGTTTTAACTCACATCAATGCCAACATCTGAAGTCGTACAGAAAAAGGCAATGATGGCTTTCCGTTTTCATGAAGGGAAATGGTTGCTTTTAGTTTTCACACTGTGATGATTTGCCATGGACTTCAGCTTCCTGTTGAGAAAACATTTTAAAATGTGATGCATGTCGTAGTTTCATACACATGATGGTAAATTCAGCTCCAGAAGTTGCACATGAAAAACAGGAGAAGGTGGGACCCTTGCACAACAGCCCAAACCTTGTTAACAAGTTTCTGCTCTGTGACAGGGAGAACCCAAGTTGGGAAGCAATATTCTTTTTAAACACAATTCCCAGAACCCCATGTTAGCTGTGGAATTCTAGTGTCCAAAAAAGTAATGTTTCCTACCTCTGGAAAGATAGAACAAGTTAAAGGAGGGCAGTCAGGCTGCCATCATCTTGTGATCAGAATCCAAATGATCTTCCACTGAGATTTTGGATGTACTGTGAGGACGTCAGCTTATCACTAGCACTTTAGCAGAGCAGATTTTTATAATGCTGGCCTAATATACCATGACGGCACTGATTCATACATGTTCATGGTCCCCACACCTCCCATGTCCCTATCAGGGCCAGGACCATATAGAGGTACCCTTTAGACATATTAGCATGCTTGCCTGAACTGTTGAGGAATATTAAAATACAAAAGCAAAACTGGTACTACTGTGGAATCTGAACAGTTTTTTTAAAAATAGCTCTCATCCGTGTTTAATTCCAGATAATATTTCTGTCTATTTGTCTTTCTATCCCTCCTTTCTTTCATTAAAGCTTGCAAAGAGCCTCAAATGAACCTACAAGATGGTCTCTCCTCCATGCACTCACTAGACCAAAATCTGCTTAACTTCAGCAAAATAAGTGATTCTAGTAATACTGTATAACATTTCCAAAAGTACAAATAGTGTAAGCAAAGTTTCAAAGCATTTTTAGTTTCATAAGATTTTTTAAACAGAGCATCAACAACAATATCAGTTACCACTCCTGCCACAACTCAGTGAAAAGTTCAGAAGACAATGCTGGCCATGTTATATTTACAGTGTAGATCTGAGTGCCCTTCTGTTACTGACTAGGAACGGTGTAGAAGGCCAAATTATATTTCTACAAGGCATAATGATAATTTACATTACATGATTTGTATGAAAGGTGTTAGAGAACACTTGTTGGCATTTGCAGTAATAGTTTACAATAAAGATGGGCACAAACCTCGGAGGTTGGTGCCTGGCATTTCCTTCTCCCACCTCCCCAACTGATTCCCCCCCCCAACACATACACACAACAGCTGTCACACACTCCTCTCCTTATCCTCTTTAGCTGCTCAACCAGTCTCCAGCAGGAACACGCGATTCCCTGCTCCACCTCTTTGGATGACTGCCCACTCAGCCAAGGAGGTAGGACAGGCAAATCCATGCTCCAGCCAGGGACTGGTCAAACAACTGAAGAGGAGGAGGAGAGGAGCACACACCAACTGGTGAGTGGGTCACTGACCAGGGAGGCATAGGAAGGGAATCACACATGTCATGCGTATGAACCAGCACAAACCCCCAAATCAAGGTTCATGCCTATCTCTAACGTACAGCACTAGGTAGCATCAGTCTGCCAAATTATCAGTTGGCATGACAAGGAAGGAAACCTGAGGTCACACGAAGGGTTGAAGTGGAGAGAGGCATGGCCCAAAATGTTCCCAAGCATCTGGCTGCCTTTTAAATATATTAGATTGCTGACCTTCAGCAAAGGGTCTACAACATTTGCCTGAATGCAATTATAGAACATCTGGCTGAATGCAGTTTCAGAACATCTACAATCAGAAACCCAGTTAAGGTTTCCAATCAAGAGGGTGTGTTCAGCAAAATGTCCTTTGCAGACTTTCCTACTTACATGAAGTTCAAAAAGTTGTAAATTCAAAAAACCAGCTGAGAAACTCAAGAGCAAGGCTTGTGTGTGCACCCCCAGACATTTTAGCCATATAGTAAAGGTTCCCCTTGACATTTAGTCATGTCTGACTCTAGGGTGTGGTGCTCATCCCCGTTTCCAAGCTGTAGAGCCAGCGTTTGTCCAAAGACAGTTTCTGTGGTCACGTGGCCAGCGCGACTAGACACGGAACGCGTTACCTTCCCACCAAGGTGGTACCTATTTATCTACTCGCATTTTACATGCTTTCGAACTGCTAGGTTGGCAGGAGCCGCAACAGGCGACAGGAGCTCACTCCGTCGCATAGATTTGATCTTACGACTGCTGGTCTTCTGACCATGCAGCACACAAAGGCTTCTGCGGTTTAACCTGCAGCGCCACCACGTCCTTTTAGCCATATGCCGACACCTTAAAAGTGGAAGATCTAGGTCAGGAGCTAGTGCATTCAGTGGGTTTGTAATGAAATCTGATACCAGCTCAATCTCAGAAGGGATTCAGTGCAACCTCAATGTCTAATGTAATGATAAAATGGTTGTCACTGTTGGTGGCAACTGCCCGTGGAAAGTCATATCATTTGCATTCTACAAACTACTAACATTCAGATTCAATGCATGTTAGTAGCTGGTTCTATGCAAATGGTGTAGCTTTCAGTCACGTGCAGTTGCCATTAACAATGACACCCATTTTGTCATTGAAGCTGAACGGTGTAATTGAGTCGGTGTCGAACACTAAAAGTGATGGCACAAAATTGCTTATGCTGGTTGGCTCATATTCTATTTTTCTCCCATTATAATTGTGTAAAAGGCCTACTTTGTGGGGAAAGAAGTAATGGTAATTATTAGATGTTACAGTTACTACTGTTTGCATTACCAAACAGGGAAATCAATCCTTCTCCACTTTTTAATTCTATTTTTAATTCTTAGCTAAGAAAACTGACAATGAGGATTTCCAGATGGAAGCTGAGATCAGATGACCTAGTTACCTGAACAATCTTTTGAAGGGAAAAAAATTCCTACAAATGTACTAAGATTCTTCTTCCTCCTCTTCCTCCTCCTCCTCCTCCTCTCCTCCTCCTTCCTCTGCTTCTTCTTCTTCCTCCTCTTGTGCTTCCTCCTGTTCCTTATTTTCATAAAAGAACAAAAGAACATTCAAAATACTGGAGAAACAAACTTGTATTCAAAATCTATAGTAATTTGAAAGAAAAGCAAGAGTGGGTAGAATATAATCTCATGTTCACAGATCCTTTTATAAAATATGGATTCTTCATTCACACATCAAGGCTGTAATTCTCTGAGAAGGAAAATCCTGATTTGAATGCTTTATATTCCATTTGCAATCACTGTAAGATGATGGAAATTTTCTTTTTTGTTTTCCCAATATAGAAACAGAACCCTTAAATTTTTTCACAAGCTTAATGTTTGATTTTTTTATATACAGCCAAACATCAAGAAATCACACATAGCAATGAATGAATATAACCATTTCTTCTTAGCAAAACTATTCAACCAAGATAATAAATTCCAACTGCAGTCTATATATACACCCACATGTACTGATTTTGAATGGTTATTAGTAACACTATTTTGCAACTAAGATTCACCTCAACTTCATCCAAAATATCATCTGAATATAGCACATCACGACATTTATGTGAATGTTTATATATAATTCTTCAATTGATCAGGTGTTTGATTACAGTAAGTGCTGTTTATGTACAGAGTGACAAACAGCTACAAAAATGGCAGATGGATACCACCATGGATACCAAAATCCTAAGCATTTCTACCTGCAAATGAGTTTCACTGAAATGGATGGAGGTTAAGTCTGGACAAATATATATAGGATTCAGAAGTCAGCTTGGAAAACTGAAACTTCAACCATGAGGGGGAGGATGTTTCTGCTGCTTATCAATACTGCATGTTGTCCTGTGAAAAGCAAGTTGGGGATTGATCAGACAGGCATGTATCCCACTGTGGGGACAGGTTGATTCATTCTTTTTTTCGTGGAAATCAGGCAATGTAATAGATGGAGCGAGCTAAACTGTCCACAGAGTGGTCTTACCTGCACCTCTGCACCTTTCCGATTCCCACTTAGGGGCTTGTGTTTACGAGTATAGCAGTGGTCCCCAATCTTTTTGGAACCATGGACCAATTGGGGGGCGTGGCACATTCGCGGGTAGGTGTGGCACGTTTGCGTGCTCTAGTGGGTGAGTGTAGCGCACTCACGGATGGGTGTGGTGCACTCTTGCACATGGGCATGGTGCGCTCACGGGGCGTGCATGCACACCAAAGCCACCTGCGAGCATGCCATGCCCATCAACAAACATACCTGCTCACCCGCGCCACGCCCACCATGCATACAGCCCGGTCCTGCAAAGCCCACGGACTGCCTGCGGACCAGGGGTGGGGGCGCCTGGTGTATAGGATTTCTCTGCTTTGATTCATTTTCAGCATCTTTGATCACTGGGAATGGACCAAAAGCAAGCCTTCCTGGCTGCAAAGGCTCCTTCTGGTTTGATTTTTTCATATTGTTAAGTGGCTTAATAAATGAGTCACTTCAGAATACTGTATTGGCAAACTGACCACTTCCTCTGCTCCTTGGCAGAGAAGAAGAGAAACTGAAATTTATTTTAAGACTCTGGTAGACTATCACTGACCATGGATTCGGCTGCAGGTAGTTTCTTAAATATCATTTTCTTTCTTTCTTTAAAAAGAGAGATAGTACCTTGGTGATAGTCTACCTGAGTCTTAAAAGAAATTTCCATTTCTCTGCCTCTCTGCCAAGGAACAGAGGGAGTGTTCAATTTACTGATGTCCTGAAGTGGCTTCCTTATTAAACAACTTCATAATATCATAAGGAGCCAGATCAAATAGGGTTGCTTGAACTCCAATCTGCCATTTGAATATGAGGATTGCACCCAATGGCACAATTCACCTCTACCTGGCCCCAGACAACCCTATTTAGCCCACACCAGCCTGCTCCAAAAGGACAGTGCAGATAAGCCCTAAATGTACTAAGCTTAAAACAACATGATCTTGTTCTTAGTATTATGTTCTCTCTTTATTTTTCCTATCTGCTATGAAAAAAACAATAGCCAAAGCCAGATCTCAAAACCTTGTCCATTCAATGTATTTCAGACCTACCCTCTACAGGCCGATATATTAACTAACCAATCTATATCTTCTCTCTAAAGGAAAGGAGCTATTTAATTCCTATGGGGCTTATGCAGAAGGATGTCTGCAGAAGACTGTACCCAGTGGCCGAGAGCCAAGGGTCTACTTGAGGTACACTGGAGTTTGCCGGATACAGCAAACTGCTCCTTCTTGCAGTTCCTTGGGCACTCCCAAAACCTGCTCCAGGGTAGGATGAAACAAACCAACCAATTCACATATGCCTGCAGTGGGGAGGTATGGAAAGTCCCCATTCTGCTGATATCAAAAATATGGAGGTGGGAGGGGAAAGACATCTCCAAAATTAGAGAAAATTGGGGGCTTTCCCTGTTTTCGTCTGAAGCTCATTTTTTGTTTTGTTTCATTTTTCATTTTAAATCAGAAAAATACATAAATAAATGGATTGTGCAACGTTATCATGTAGAATAATGAATGTTTCAGACATGATGGCCATGTATTTATTCTCCCAAAAATGTTTTCTAAAAACTATGTAACAGATGTTTATGTAAGACTATATTCTTTCTACTGTTTTTGGTTTGCTCCTCCTGTCCAGTAGGCATCCTTAAATCTCGAGAGACTATGTTAACGTGCTCTGTATGGAGGTCTTGGAACAGCGTCTACTGTGGCTGAGAACACAAATTCGAGAGTGACAATCTCTTCCACACTGAAGATAAATACAATCTGTCCCCTGTCCAGCTCCCTAATTTTGCTGGTTTCAGGACTGCCTCTTTGCCTCAACCTGCTGTACAAGTGTCTCTTCAAATTGGGAGAGGCCATGATGCACTGCCTGCCTCCAGGCTGAACGCTCAGACGTCAA